CTGTCAGCCTGAAACAGTTAGGTGGATGGAAAGCAGTGGGCCTGGAGTCAGGAAGACCTGAGTTCAAAACCTGCCTCAGACACTTACTAGTCCTGTGACTGTGGCCAAGTTGCTTGACTTCTCATCCTCAGTTTTACTCATCTATAAAATGGGGGTGATAGCACCTGCTTCCAAGGATGGTTGTGGTGATCCAGTGACATACATGGGTTTGTGAAATGTAAAGTCCTCTATCAAGGCCAGCTGTTACTGGGCTGTCCAGCACCCCAGCCCCTCCAGAGCCTGGTTGGTCTGTGCAGTGAGAGGGTCATGAGAGCTAGAATTGTGTTCAGAATAAAGAGAACCCTCTCATTTTTCCTCCCCCATCCTGGGTCTTTGACTTCAGGGGGGAAAAAACCACAGATAAGTGAGTTGCCAGAGATCAACATCTCTGGGGTCTTGAATTCCTGGGCAACAGGGGCTCTCTGCAGAAAATATGACTGGAAGGAGCATGGTGAGAGGAAGGAGAAAGAGGAGCAGGCTGAAGGAATAATCATACCTGACGTGTCTGTGGCACTTTAAAGTTGGGCATCACTTTATGTACCTGTCTCATTTTATTCCTACAACAAAGCTGTAAGGCTGGCATTATGGACATGTTGTGTGGTCATTTCAGTCACGTCTGATTCTTCATAACCCCTTTTGCAGTTTTCTTGGCAGAGATAAGGGAGAGGTTTGCCATTTTTTCTAGTTCATTTTACAGATTTTACAGGAAACTGAGACAAACAGGGTGAAGTGACTTGTCCAGGGTCACACAGCTAGTGGCTGAGGTCAGATCTGAACTCAGGTCTTCCTGACTCCAGGCCTGGTTATCTATCCACTGTGCCACCTATCTGCCCTCATAATTATCCCCATTTTACAGATTGAGGAAACTGAGGGTCAGAGAGATGGAGTGACTTGCCCTTGGTCACACAGTTGGTGCATGCCAGAGTCAGGACCTGAACCCGGGTCTTCCCAATTCCAAATCCAGAACTCTATCCATCACAACACACGGAATTCTAGAATGCTAGATTAGAAAGGGTCCAACACACAATGTTGGAACACAAAATGTCAGACCTGGAAGTAACTTTACAATATAAAATGTGACAGTTGGAAAGAGGAGATTTAGAACTCAGAATGTCAGAGCTGGGAGGGGCCTTAGAACCCAGAATGTCAGAGCTGGGAGGGCCCTTAGAACCCAGAAATGTCAGAGCTTGAAGGGCCCTTAGAACACAGAATGTCAGAGCTGGAAGGGCCCTTAGAACACAGAATGTCAGAGCTGGGAGGGCCCTTAGAACACAGAATGTCAGAGCTGGAATATCGGGGAGGAGCCTTAGAACAGAAAACATTAGAGCTGGGAGGGACCTTAGAATAGAGATTGTGAGATCCTGAAAGAATCTTGGAACATGTAATTTTAAAACATACAATGCTCAGAGCTAAAAGCAGGCTTCCAAGAGAACATGGCGACATAGGCCCCTTGGCCAGTGCATCCTTGCTTCCATTCCCTTTCTTCCCCCCCCCCAGCATCCCCCAGCGCTCTCATCTCTCTGTCCACACTGCTCCAGTTTCTCACAGCCCATTGTGTCTTTTGTCACTCTTGCCCACGATTCCCACCAGTTTTTCAGCTATTTCTTTGCGGTCCAGGTAGAGGTACTCGATGGTAGCTTCACGTGTGACACCCCCCATCCCCACCCCATCTTGGTGTTTTCACATATTCCTTCACTCCATTCAACAAACACGTTCTAAGTACCTACTGTGTGCAGAGCCCTGCGTTTTTGCTGGTCCCTGCCAACATGGAGCTCACTCAATCTAACCATGGTAGCGGCAATGAAGACAGATCATTATCATACCTAGTATTACTAATAGCACAATGCCTGGCACATAGTAAGCACTCTATAAATGTTAGTTATCATCATCATTATTATTATTATTATTACAACATTTGTGTTGCAAAGTGTTATGTGAGTTCCAAGGGCAAAGATTATTAGTAATGAGTGAAATAGGGGACAGAAGCTTTAAGCCACAGGAATAAAGCCCTCCCCCACCCAGCATTCTCAGGCGCGTTGGGTGGAAGGCCGTGAGTGCTGAAGGGTGGTGGAGGGGGATGTCAGGGCCTTTCCCTGGTGTCCTGTTCATCTCTATTACAAACTCCAGGCCACCCCACCTGGCACACTTCCAGTGATGTGTCAGAAGAACCAGAGTGTAGTAGAAATGAAAAATATCACAGGCCTAGGAGTCTGGAGACCTGGTCTCTAGACCTAGCTCTGTTGCTAACTGGCTGCGTGACCTGAGGTGGGTCACTGCCTTACCCTAGGCCTTGGCCTCCCTAGCTTCTGCCAGACGAGGTGATGGAACTAGGTCATGCTGGCGGCCCCTTACAGCTCTAACATTCAATGTTCTCAATACACCCATGAACTAAGTAATCCCCACTTGAGAAATGAAGAAACTGAGACCTGGAGAGAGGAAATTACTTGTTCACAGACTCGGCAGCAGTTCACAGCTGCCATGAGATGCCTGACTCCCAGACCTCGGCTCCTTCAGACGGTCCAGGAAGCAGAAGTCCTCTCCCCCACCCCAACCCAGCCTCAGCAACCCCGGGTGCTTTAAGGCAGATGTGCAGAAAGGGGAAAAGGGAAACAGCGGGATGCAAAAAAAAAAGAACACTCCATTTGGAATTGGAAGACCTGTATTCAAATCTGCCACTCCCCACATGTGACCCTGAACAAGTCAGTTCCCTTCCTGGGCATCATTTTTCTCTTCTGTGCCTATGAGGGGCTCAGTATTGACTCAGTGAGCTCTGAGGTCCCTTCTGGCTCCAAGTCCACAGGGCTAGTCTGAGAGTTAGGAAGATCTGGGTTCAAATCTTGTCTCAGATACTTACTACCTGAGCTAGTATGTCTCAGCCTTAGTTTCCTCCTCTGTAAAATGGGGATGATAAAAGCAAAGAGCCCATTATGAGGAGAAATGAAATCACGTCTGCAACACACTTTGCATACAGCGCCGTATAAATGTCAGCTATTTTTACTGTTGTCATTGTTGTTATCTTCTGGATTTCAAGCAAAAGGCAAAATGGGGAACCAGCAGAGCCTTCTCCAAAACAAATCTGTTCCTTCTGCCTAGGAAGTTTGGAATAGAAAGAGGCCTGCCGCCTGAAGAGAGAGGCAGCGGGTGGAGTTTGGAAAAAGCAAGGAGTCCCCCCTGTGCACACAGGGCTCCTGTTTATTTATTGAGATTGCTAGAACATGTGTCCCGCACGCCTAGGAGTGCTTTGGGGGGCTGCGGGGGAGGTGTAGAGATGGCCTGCTTCCTTCAGCTCAGATACTACCCTCTACTGTCCGTGGCTGGTGTTGCGGACAGCCTGACCTCACCAGCTCGGAGGGGACATCTATCCATCCATCTTGGGGGCTGGAGAGCTTCCCAGCAGCCCTTGGAAACCCGGTCCCTTAGTGCCAAGCTAGGGCTGCTGGAGTTGCTCCCAGGGGGAAGATGGGGAGAAAGGGAGGGGAGCAGCGTTCCCCAGCCTCCTTCATCCGTATTTGGAAGAGAATTCCGCCAAAGCTGATCTCTTCCAAGACTGGATTGGCTTTTATTGAAGACTATAAGCAGGCCAGGACTGGACCTTGTCAAAGAGGCTGAGAAAAAGAGAAAAGGACAAGGATTTAAGGAGAAGGGGGAAGGGTTTGTAGTCCAAGAACTCAGCCAAGTTCATAGTCTGCCTCTGGCACTTAATATCACTGTTATGTCAGCCAAGTCACTTAACCTTTCAGGGCCTCAGTTTCCTTATCTGTAAAATAAGAGTTTTACCAGATGGCATCTGAGGTCTCTTCCAGCTCTAATTCTATGACCCTGCAATCTCTTTGTGAACCTGTTTGCTGTTATAAAACCAAGGGGCTGGGTTACCTGCTGTAATGAGAAGGCCACTGTTTGGATTCAGAGGCCCTAAGCTCTAATCTCAATCCATTTCCTATTACTTGTGTGATCTTGAGCTAATAAATCAACAAGCCTCTCTGGACTTCAGCTCCCCCATAAATAAGGAGGTGAAATATAAATGTAAATATTTATGTAACTATAAATACTTAATGAATAAATATTTATATAAATATTTAATAAATAAATGTTTTTATAAATGTAAGTCTTTAATAAATAAATATTTCTATGAATGTAAATCTTTAATAAATAAATATTTATCTAATGTGAATATTTAATAAATAAATACTTCTATAAATGCAAATATTTAATAAATATTTATATAAATAAGGAGTTATATAAATAATAAAATAAGGAGGTTGAGCCAGGTGGCTCTTAAGAGTCTTTCCCATTCTAAGGCCTTTCATCCTTCATGTGTTTCAAATATATAACAGAATGGGGTTCAGAAAAAGTTCTCGCAGACCCTTAGGCATCTACCTGGATCATAGAATCCTAGCTCACTGGAAGGGACCTCAGAAGTGATCCAGTCTAACCTTCTCATTTTACAAATGAGGAAACTGAGGCCCTAAAAAGGTTGAAGGGACTTTCCCAAGTTCGTACTGGTAGTAAAGGACAGAGCTGAGACTTGAACTCAGGTCTGTGAGCCTTGATCCAGCAGTCATCCCACTATCCTGCAGGACCTCCCTAAGGGGAAATGTTGCGTGATAATCTGAATCACAGTTGATCAACAGGCATTTCTTAAGAGCCTACTATGCATGAGCCGGGCACTGTACTAGGCACTGGGGACATAAAGACAAAGAATGAAACAAACCCTTTTTGCAAGGAGTCTACATTCTAATGTGAGTCCCAGGTCTGCCCCATGGGACCTTAGGCAATTAATTACCTTCCCAAGCCTCAGTTTCTTCCTCTGTGAAATGGGAATAATAATTCTGGTATCAGCTGCTTTTCTGACTAAGATTTCTTGACTCTCCCTCTACACACACACACACACACACACAAAATCAGTCCAGTTCTATTCATTCATTTCTCTTTGGGTGACTCTCATATGTTTTCTCCTCTAGGTTGCCCTTCGGGACCTTCAAGGCCAATCAGGGGGATGAAGGATGCACTCACTGCCCCATCAACAGCCGGACCACTTCAGAAGGAGCCACTAACTGTGTCTGCCGCAACGGGTACTACCGAGCTGACTTAGACCCACTGGAGATGCCGTGCACCAGTATGTTGGAGGGGGAGGCGTTTGGAGGACATATTCCTGGCGGACCTCACCCGAGGGGGAGGGGGTCATCTCCTTGTGAAGCAGTTGCCACCTGAAACCAATCACTCACTCACATACCACCCTGAAATATTTTTTGACTGAAATTCCTTTTTCTTAAGGAGTAGGAGCCAAATACCTGATGGAAGAGGGATGACCCTTTTCTTTGAGACATGAAAGTAATTTCTTAGTGGAAAAGGCCCCTCGCCGGGGCCTTGTGCACGTGGACGTGTCATGTAGCCACAATCAAAGCTTATTTAAGTTCCAAAGGATGTTAGAACAGAGAATAGGAGAGATGAGGGAATGGCTTAGTCCAGTTTGGCTGGAACAGACAGTGTGAAGGGGAAGGATGTCTGGAAAGCTAGACTGGAGTCCCGGAGGGCCCTGAGTTCCAAGCTCTGGAGTTACTGTCTCATCCAGGTAGCATCGCAGAACCAGAGAAGCTTTCTGAGCTGGGCATCTCCAGCAATCTACAGCCTCCCAGCTCTGACATTCTCTCATTTGTTTTGGTCTGTGGATTTCCCCCTCCCTTGACAAAGGAAATGCTTTGTGATTGCTCTTCAGCTTAAGTGAGCCCAGTTCTGCAGGAGTAGAATAGTTCATTCAGCTCTTTAAGGCAGACAGGCCAGGAAGTTTAGCCCCTGGCCCATGATCTCAGCCACCCCCTAAGATTTCTTCTTCCGTCTCTAGTTTACCATTGAACGTATTGACTGGGAGGCCCCATATCCCTAGGATAAGGAGAAAACGTTGCTGAGCCTATGTTAGCAGTCCTGTTGGGGTACTGGGCCTTTAGGGGTTGCAGGGGATAGAGCACTGGGCTTGGAGTCAGGAAGACCTGAGTTCAAATCCAACCTCAGACATATATTAGCTGTGTGACCCTGGGCAAGTCCCTTCTCTTCTGTCTATCTTAGTTTCCTCAACTGTAAGGGAATAATAATAGGACTTACCCCACAGGGTTGTTGAGAAGATATTCATAAAGCACTTAGCATAGTGCCTGGCACACTGTAGGTACTTAATAAGTACTCATTCCCTTCCCTATGGTGGGAGCTGCCTCTCAGCTTCAGCCCCTCTTAGAGAACCAACCGGATGAGGGACGTGTCCATAATGACTTCTGTGCTGCTGACCCAAGAGCTCATTGGGAACACTGGAGACAAAGATGTGGTCCGTGGCCAGGCCCGGGCCTGAAAGGAGGGCCCCTTTTGGGGGTTCCGTATTGTCTCTTCCTCACAGCCTTCTCTTAAAACCCAGCCACTCCTCCTAGGGGTCACATATCAAGCCCTTAGCATAAATTATTTTGTCCGGTTACTTTCCTCTTCGTTCAAACATTTATTAGCCAATCAATCAACAAGGATTTATTAAGTGCTTACCATGTGCCAGGCACTGTGCTCTGTACTTTGGATTCAAAGAAGGACCAAAACAGCCCCTGCCCTCGAGGGGTTTACATTCTTATGAGGAAACTATGTATAAATAAATAGATAGATACGTGGTACTTAGACTAGATAAAAGGTAACCAAATACCGGCTATGTCAGGGGCCCTCTGCTAGGTGCCAGTGCAAGGTCAAGACCTCCAGTGATTTCCCATCTTGCACCATTATTGTCTATGCCCTCCTGACAGCTCTGCCTGGAGGATCTAGCCAATGCCCTTGTGGCCTTTATATAGTTCCCTTAGTATCATGGAGGTACCCGCTCAGCACTTTGGCTCGCCATTGATTCTTGCTATCTGAGCAGCCTCCATCCTGTTCCGGTCGTCCACGTCCCCAGTAGTATCCTTTATACCACTTGATTACAAACCATCGTTTGCAAAAAGCTCCAGTCTGTGTCCACCCACCCACCAAGTGTCTCTCTATTGTGCTTCAAAATTTTTGTTGTTTCAACTCAAGCGTGAAGGCTGCTGAAGCATGAGGGAACGTGGACTCTACATGTTAAAATTTGTTGGTTGAGGAGAGGAAAGTTGGGCATGACCTGATGTGAACCCTAGGTTTGGAGAAAGCAGATTATTTCAAAGGGCTCTGAGAAAGGTTAAAGAGGAGCCCATGGCCTAAAATTCCATAGGAGCAATCATCCTAGGAGGGATGCAAAGAGAAACAAATCTGACAAGGAGGAAGAGGTGACATTCTCCCAAGACATCAACTTCTCTCTAGAGACATCTTGTTGTTTAGTCATGTCCAACTCCCCATGACCCCATTTGGGTTTTCTTGTCAAAGATACTGCAGTGGTTTGCCATTTCCCTCTCCAGCTCATTTGACAGATGAGGAAACTGAGGCAAACAGATTTAAATGACTTGCCCAGGGTCACACAGCTAGTAAGTGTCTGAGGCCAGATTAAAACTCATGAAGATGAGTTTTCCTGAATCCAAGTCCAGTGCTCTATCCACTGGGCCACCTAGCTGTCCTAGAGGTATCACAAGGCATTTAATGGCCAACTTGGACTTTTCAATGACACGTAGAGAATGTGGAAGCAAGCACGAACAGAGGATGAATACAAAAGCGTGGCATGGTCTCCTAAGGGTAGTATTAAGAGAGCTAAAGCTTAGAATGAATGAGCTGAGGCTGTGAGGAAATGTTAGGGCCAACAAAAACGTTTGGCTTTTTTCTAGACATATTAGGGAAAAGAGGAAGCTCAGAGAAGAGAGAGGCCCAGTGGGAAGATAAAAACAGATGACAGAGGGAAGGTGGAACTCCTCAGCCCTTAATCATGCTCCTGTTTCCTCTGCCAAGGATAATCCTTGAACTGAAAAGAACAGAGCCAGAACAGCTGATGAGACCTGCACGCACAGTGAAGTAGGGATATAGGGAGGGAGTACCCAGCTGCCTTTGATGACTTCAGGTGGCCACACCTGGCGAGGCTGCAGTCCATGGTGCTGAAGGTTCCAAGCAGTTATGAAGCCCCATCAATGATCTTTGAAAGAATATGGAAAAATGAAAAGGTGCCATGGGGCTGGGAAAGGGCTAATGTCTTCCTGACTTTGTGGAAAAGGGGCAAAAGTAGACTTCGAAAACTAAGTTTGAGCTCATTTTCAAAATTCTAGGACATAGGAGGTTGGGAGGACAAAGGGGTGGCTAGCAGCCATGTAGAAAAGAAAGCAGTGAGTGCAAAGAGCCAGCAAGGCTTCCTTAGGGCAGGTCATGCCAGAACAACTTCCTGTCCTTCGTTGTCACAGTGACTAGATAAGTAGATGAGGGGAATGCTGTTGATAGAGATCATCTGGCTTTTAAAAGGCATTCAGCAACTCCACTCATGATATTCTTGTGGACCCAGTGAAGGTATGTAGGCTGCACAATGAGTTAACTGCTCATGCCTCTTCGGAGATCTTCATATTTGTTCTAAGTAGCATCTCCAGAAGGGTATTAATATTAAAGATGGCTTTTGCAATAAGGAACAGCTTGGGGCCCATCGAAAGTAGAGCACAGTTTCCCAAATTCAATTTAGAAAGATTCAGTTTCAGCCATAACTTGTTACCCATCTGCAGGGCTTAACCAAAATAGATACATGATGAACTTAAATGGAGTGTCTGTCCAACTCCGGGTCAAAATCTAGGTTAATATGTGTTCATCATCCACTTGGTTTTTCCAGTATGGATGGCCAGCTGGATTTCCTTTTGAGTGACCGTAGATCTCATGGCAAAACACAGTAATCCCTAGGGATCAGGGACACAGTGGCATAATGTCATCCACAAATAAGATATCTGTAGAATCTTGGTGTTAAGAGGAAATTTTTTATCTATTTGAAAATTCCCCATGACACATACATGTTGCTGTTCAGTCATTCAGTTGTGTCTGACTCTTTGTGACCCCGTGGACCACAGCACGCCAGGCCCTTCTGTCCTCCACTATCTCCTGAAGTCTATCCAAGCTCATATTCATCCTTCCCATAACACTGTCCATCCATCTCCTCCTCTCCCATTCTCTTTTCCTTTTGCCTTCAATCTTTCCCAACATCAGAGTCTTTTCCAGTGAGCCCCATCCTATCATTATGAGGCCAAAGTATTTAAGCTTCAGCTTCAGTATTTGACCTTCCAATGAATAGCCTGAATTAATTTCTTTAAGTATTTGACTGATTTGATCTCTTTGCTGTCCAAGACATTTACACAACATATAATCACGGATAGCTAGTTGATAAGGTAGCTAGAGCACTAGACCTGGAACCAGGAAGACCCAAATCCTGCCTCAGACACGTAGTAGCTGGGTGACCTTAGGCAAGTTAACTTCTGCTAGCCTTAGTTACCTGGTCTGTAAAAATGGGAATGATAATGATAATAGCACCTATATTTCAGGGTTGGTGTAGGACCAAATGAGAGAGCATGTTTAAAGGGTTTTGCACACCTTAAAGTGCTGTATAAATACTAGCTATTAGGAGATGGAATGTCTTATACAAGAAATGGTTAGTTAGCAGGCCACTTTGACTTGAATGGAAAGCGTATGAAGGGGAGTAATAGGATTGAAAGGTATTAGGAAAGATATTAGTGAAGGGAGGGGGTGCTTAGAAAAAGTTTCATGGAAGAAGGTATTCTTAGAGTTGGGTCTTGAAGGATGAGTAAGATGTCACCTGGGAGAAAAGGGAGAGGGAGGAGGTGAGGGCAGCATTCCAGGTGTGAGCCAAAAGTTTGATGGCAAGGCAAGGAAAGAGGGGGAGAGGAAATCCAAGATGGGGAGAGAAAGGGCATGCAGAGAGGAGGCTGCTCAAAGTTTTTCTTGGTGTTGAATAGTCCTTGGGAGCCAACAGAGATTAGGTAGCAACTATTTTCAACAGACTTTAGTTCAACAATTATTAAGCATCTACTAGGTACAAGACATTGTACTAGGTGTTGAATGTGCAAGGGAATGAATGGAACGGTCCTTGCCCTGGAGGAATTGAGATTCTTGCAGGGAGGGAGGGATAGATAAGTAAATAGTAATTCTCTACAAAGTGATTTCAAGCAGGTGACAACACTAACAACTGGGGAAACAAGTCGGTAGGTCGGTCAGTAAGCATTTATTAAATGCCTATTGTGTGGGTCTTGTGTAGGAAGTGGCACCCAAACTGTGCTTTGAATGAAATTTGGGGATTCTAAGAGGTGGAAGTGATGAAGGAGTACGTTTCAGACGTGAAGAACTGTGTATGCAAAGGTCTGGAGGTGAGAGATGGAATGTCTTATACAAGAAATGATTAGTTAGCAGGCCACTTTGACTTGAACAGAAAGTGTATGAAGGGAAGCAATAGGAAACAAAACTAGAAAGAAATTAGGAAAGATCCTGATTGTAAAGGGCTTTAAATGGCAGACTAAGGATTTGGTATTTTACCCTAGAGGCAATAGGGAGCCTCAGAAGGTTTTTGAGTAGGGAAGTGACATGGTCAGATCCATGTCTGAAGGTTTAAGAAGTTCTTTGTTCACATTGAGTAAACACAGTACAACAGTGTATGGGCTGTTTCTGTAGTGGAATAGGAGACCTCCCTCTGACCAGCCACTAACAGATTCCTTTGTTTCTCCCCAGCCATCCCTTCTGCGCCTCAGGCTGTCATCTCCAGCATCAATGAGACCTCACTCATGTTAGAGTGGACTCCGCCCCGGGACTCGGGGGGCCGAGAGGACCTGGTTTACAACATCATCTGCAAAAGCTGCGGCTCGGGCCGGGGCGCCTGTACCCGCTGCGGGGACAACGTGCAGTTTGCCCCGAGACAGCTGGGTCTGACAGAGCCCCGGATCTATATCAGCGACCTTCTGGCCCACACCCAGTACACCTTCGAGATCCAGGCGGTGAACGGAGTCACTGACCAGAGTCCCTTCTCACCCCAGTTTGCTTCCGTCAACATCACCACCAATCAGGCAGGTAAGAAATTGAAACCTGCCTATGGGAAGGGGTCATCAGTGCTCATGACTAACCAGCATATTCAGAAGGGTCAATCCCCAGGTTACCTTCTCAACTAGGAGTCAGGATCCCTGGGCCCAGACCCAGGACCTGCCACTAACTATTTGGGGCACTATAGACAAGTCACTTAATTTCCCTAAGCCTCAGTTTCCTCATCTGTAAAATGAGCACAGTGATACTTGTTCTGCCTACCTCTCAGGATTGCTATGAGGAAACCACTTTATAAATGATCATATAAATATATAGAATATAAATAAATATAATATAGGATATAAATGGTATATATGATATATATTACATATTATGATACATATTGTGATTAAGTTTCATTTAGGTATTGTGTTACATCATCAAATGAGTGCCTACTGTATGCTAGGCCCTGTGCTAGACCTCATGCAGGAAGCGGCACCCAAACTGTGTTTCAGATGAAACTAGGGATGCTGAGAGATGGAGGCAAGGCTGGAGTGCATTCCAGACATGAAGAATCATGTGTACAAAGGTCTGGAGGTGGGAGGTGGAATGTCTAGACAAGAAATGGCTGGTTAGCAGGCCACTGTGACTTGAATGGGAAATATATAAAGTGATCTCACATGGATATTTGATATCATATTTCTTGTCTTTTCAAAGGGTGGAAGGGAGAGATTTGGAAATTAAATTTTTTTAAATGGATGGTAAATTTTTTAAATGTAATTGAGAAATATTTAACAAGATAAATGAGGGGTTTTTTTGACAAAAGAAAGCATATGAAGGGAGGTAATAGGAAGCACTTCCCTTCCCCCCACGTGATTAGCTTCCTCTAATCGGGGTGGGGGGGGGAATGAAGCAAAAAAAAAAACCAGACACCATATATGCAGCAGCATTCCACACCTACAGTCTCCCACCCCTCTCACCAAAAGGCAGCTTCTCTTTGGTGCCAATAACACAGCATTTAGCTTCATTTTAGTGTTGTTTTCATATATACATTATTATAGTCATCATGAGGCTGCTAGGCGGTGCCATAGTGTGCAGAGGGCCTCGAGTCAGGAAGACTCACCTTCCTGAGTTCAAATCCAACCTCAGATACCTACTACCTATGTGACCCTGGGCAAGTCACTTAACCCTATTTGCCTTAGTTTCCTCATCTGTAAAATGAGCTGCAGAAGGAAAAGGCAAAACCATTCCAGTATCTCTGCCAAGGAAACCCCAAATGGTGTCACAGAGACTTGGACACAACCGAAATGACTGAACAACAGTGATGAGGAAGTCGTATCTATACTTCTTGAGACATCAGTTTTCTCATCTCTAAAATGGGCAAGGGGAGATGAATTAGATGGCCTCTCAGAACCCCTGCAGCACTAAATCCTATGGAAAATGTAGGAGAGAACTCCTTGGACAACTCTTATGATTAAGGGGTATTGATTTTTTATTACATTGAAATGAAATTTGCCTGTCTTCGACCCATTGGCCCCAATTCACAAGTTCATAGGATTTCAAGCTACGAGAAAACTTTCCTTGAGTAGAAACTAGGTTCAATGGAAAGGACACTGGTTCTAGAGTCAGAGGAGCTGGGTTCAAATCCCTCCTTTGACACAGAGAACCTATGTAACCTTGGACCTTAGCCTCTCTGGCCCTCAGTTTCCACATCTGTAAAAAAAAAAAAAAAGAAGCTTGGCACAAGAAATCCTCTAAGGTCTTCAATCTACTCCAGGTTAAGAGATTTGCCAAGGGTCACCTAGTTAGTGAGGGGCAAAGCCAGGATTGGATGTAGGTGTAGACATGATTATTATGTTTGTATGTGGGAGCATTACGTGCGTGAACAGATTCATGTGTTTATTTGTATATACTTATATATATTTATATAGCACATCTAGGCCAGGATGTATATATGTGTATGTTGCCTTTCCCTCCAGGTTACCTGGGATGTATATTTGTTCATCTTGCCTTTCCCCCGTGTTGCCTGGAATGTATGTATGGGCATCTTGCTTTTCTCCCAGGTTGCCCCACTCCCCGGTAGAAGGCAAGCTTCTTGAGGTCAGAGATTGTTTCACTTTTTTGTCTTTGGATTCCCAGTGCCTGGGTTGTCACGGCAAATAAAAAAAAAAGGTCAGAGTAGACCATGGTAGCACCCTCATTCTGCCAGGAGAAACTGAGTGAGCCCCCCAGCATGTTAGATGGACACACATGGGGAGCAGGCCTGCTGGTGTGAACGTGTGCACCCGTGTGAAGGAGGGAGTGTCACATACAAAAATGAGACTGAACAGAATGAAGCCATTCTATTTTTGGGTCCAAGACTGATTAGAGACAGGGCTGATGGTTTCCCACAAACTTAGTTGTAAACTGTTGGCTAAGCTGTCTAATTTAGCGCTGATTTCACACCTTGCAATTAAGAAGCTGTTGCTCCATTAATACTTCAGCTGTGACTTTGCCAGCTTGGCAGCCAGAGAGCCTGGGCCCTGGGCAGCTCCTGCCGCCCCCGGGGAGCACGTCCAGGCTGGGGGCCTCCCCGGGTGCTCCAGGAGCACCTTCACTCCTGAGGGCTCACACTTCCGCCACCTGGGGGACAACGCTCCGTTCATTATCACTAAGCAGGCCCTGCCTGCTGGAGAATGCCCTCTTCTTTGGAGGCCTGGGAATCCTTGCCTCGCACTTCACACAGTGGGGAGTCAGGGCTGGCCATGGATTCACTCAGTTCCTACTGAGGCTCCTCCAGTGCTGCAGGCAAGAGGGAGACAGGGGAGAGTGGATGCAGCAACCAGAGGTTGGGGAGGGAAAATTGGCTCCCTGGAAGCGGGATGCTGAGCAGTCCTGAGCAAAAGACTACGGAGTAAGTGATGTTCCACTTTCCGAAGTTTTTTCATGTCCATTTTCTCATTTCGAACTCAGAAAATCCCAGTAAAAATTATTCTCCCAGTTTTATGGAAAAGAAAACTGAGGCTTGTGCCTGTCATCACAAGCTAGTAAGAGGCAGCCCCAAGTTTTCTGATTCACAGGCTAATCAGATGTGAGCAGAAGAGACGTTAGAGATCATTGTGGAATAACATCCTCATTTTCCAGGTGAGGTGAGGTGATTCACCTGCTTCACGCATGTCATAAAAGATAGAGCCAGATCCTCTGACCAAAAGTCCAAAGCTCTTCACCACAAACTGCAGTTTGAAAGATCTCAGCTGCAACATGAATAGACTGTAGTGGAAGAGGACCTGAGAGCCAAGAATGTCAAAGCTAGGATGTCAGAGCTGGGAGGGACCTTAGAACACAGGATGTCAGAGCTGGGAGGGACCTTAGAACACAGGATGTCAGAGCTGGGAGGGACTTTAGAACACAGGATGTCAGAGCTGGAAGGGACCTTAGAACACAGGATGTCAGAGCTGGGAGGGTCCTTAGAACACAGAATGTCAGAACTGGGAGGACTCTTAGAACATAAAAAATAGAATATTGGCACCAGAAATCACTTTAACATATAGAATGTCAGCCCTAGAAGGGCCTTAGAGATGCTTAATCAAGCCCCCTTGTTACAGACGGGGAAGCCAAAGCCCCAAAAGGCCATGTGGCTGGTCTAAAATGGCCCAGCCAGTCGATGGCAGTGCTACAATTAGAACCCAGACCTCCAGCTGCCCAGACCAGTGCTGCCTCCCTCTTCTGCCCACCAGACTGTAGCCCTTACATGTGTTTAGCCGTTTAACTGTTCAAAGCATCCTCTAATCTGTGATCTCATCTGATCCACCCAACAACCCCATAGGGCAGAAACACAGAGACTCAATATGGGAAAGTGGAGCAAGCCGTGGGGATGCTTGGCTTCCCTCCCTCCCAGGGCTGTTGTGAAGATCAAATGGGGCAGTGTTCTAAGGGCCCTCCCAGCTCTGACATTCCATGTTCCAAGGGCCCTCCCAGCTGACATTCTGTGTTCTAAGACCCCTCCCAGCCCTGACATCCTGTGTTCTAAGGCCCCTCCCAGCTCTGACATTCCGTGTTCTAAGGCCCCTCCCAGCTCTGACATTCTGGGTTCTAAGGCCCCTCCCAGCTCTGACATTCTAGGTTCTGAGGTCCCACCTGGCTGTGACATTCTCTGTTCTAAGGTACTCTCTTCCCCCCTATCTCTAATATTCTGTGTTCTAAGGTTCCTAACTCAGCTCTGGCCATCTATGATTCTACATAAGATTTTAGAGGTAGCTTTTATTAAGTGGCTACTCAAATATAGCACACATATTTGTATCTTATCAGCCATCCCCAGCACTGATGATGAAATAGTTCTCAATTGTTTCCCTCTCAAAAATCAGGAGGGCACCTGGACATTTTGAAGGTCACAGGAGCATACAATTACAGATTTAGAGCTAGAAGGGACATCCAAGGATGAGTCCTTACCCTTTCATCTTCAAGACAAAGAAGCTTAGGCCTAGAGAGGAGTGACTTACCCAGATTCACACAGCTTGGAAGTGCCTGAGGCAGAATTTGAACCCAGGTCTTCCAGCATTCTAGCCACTATAGGTGAAGAAACTCCCACTGACTGCAGTTCAAAGCCTTGTGGGTTTATCAGTTATGGTTAAAAAGAGTTTTAAGTTGGTACTGGAGCCACATGGTATGAATGAATGAATGAATGAATGAATGAATGAAAAATTTGTTAAACACTATGTGCAGAGCACTGTGCTAAGCTCTGAGAATTTAAAAAGAAAAAAGACATTCTCTGTGCTAAAAGAGCTCACATTCTAATGAGGGAGTCAATTCATATAGGAAATTTTAGCTGGGAGTCAGACAGAAAGGTCCCATGGTCCTTTTAAGGTCATTGGTAAAGCCGATGATAATGCCTCATACTTAATGTCACTTCCATTGATTCAGTCATTTCATTTTCTGACATCGAACCTTTTGGGAGGGGACTTGAGATAACGCTCTTTCCTGGGTCTTCAGTAGCTGTGCCCGCAGCCCCTGCTGGGGCCATTACCAGGCTGCATCTCCCCAGGGGCGCTTCACCAAATGGACATTGCCGTTCC